CCAGCCTCCTCCCCCTCCTCCTCTCTCCTTCCTCCTCCCTTCCCCTCGTCCCTCCATCTATTTTTTCCATTTTTACTGTAGCTTTTTACTATTGTATAATGTAGTTTTTTTTACTGTTTTTAGTAAGTGTTTAAAATAATTAGTAAGTAAATTAATAAAACTAGTTGAACTAGTTTATTTTTAGTAAGAACTAGTTGAATTAATAGAAATAATGTATTTTTAGTAAGAAAATTAATATAACTAGTTGAACTAGTTTATTTTTAGAAACAACTAGTTTATTTTTATTTGTAGTAAGTTTATCTTTAGTAAAACTAGTTGAATTAATAGAACTAGTTGAACATGTCACATTTGTTGTTATTTTTTTAGTTTAAGCATCCTCGTCGTCGATACCCATCGTTCGCTAGGGTTTTAATTGTATTAGTGATGTTATATGTATGATACTATTCGGGATGTATTAGTGATAACTTATAGGGTTTTTGTTTTTGCAGAAATGAAGGAGCCCCTCCATCATCCCCGCCGTCGTCCCCATCAACGACCCACTCCGACCTCGAGGTGAGACCAGCCAAATCTCCATGTCAATATGAGTCCTATAAGATATGATGTAGATAAAAACATGTATATCTTGTGTTGCTTAAATAGGATATGTGGTTGCCCAAGTGGCCGGTCATGTTTGCAGGTTACACCTCCGAGTGGCCAATGTTTTACCGGAGTGTTGATTAATTTCTGTTCCGGCAAATTTCAGGCGCTCGATATGTCCTGTTTTAGCAAAGGTCATGCCGGAATTTTTCCGTGAGTTTTGGCATGACTTGTGCTAGAATATGTAGGAAATATCGAGTGGCCTGGATTTTCTAGAAAGGTAATTAAACGATATTTCGGGTTCACTTTAAGTCCGTCGAGGCCGAAGAATCCCGACTGTTGTCATGGGGGTCGTTTCTCCTTCTTCTTCGGGTGCTAGACCTTTGTTATGCACTAGGGGAAGGAGGAGTAACGACCATCACTGACGGTCGCAAATGTCAGAGAGGAATCAGTGAGGGAGAGTCTCCACCATATATGAGAGGACGAAGAATCCCGAATGTTGTCGTGGAGGTAGCTTCTCCTTCGTTCGCGTGTGCTAGACATTTGGTGTAATGCACTCGGGAACGAAAGGAGGAGCTACCATCATCGACGGTCGAATATATACACCACATGAGCTGAGAGCTTTCAAGAAAAGACTTGACAGACCGATAGTCAACCCGTGATGAATAATAATGATCTAATTTAGTTTTTGTAGTACATATATTTAATTGTACAAGTTTAATCTTTGAATTATGAACATAGGAAATGTCGTCGGACGAAGAAGGTCCCGGGGAATGCTCCTGGTGCAGCGACAACCGGGGTTTCTACGACATGCCTCACCTGGACGAAGGTCGGCGCTTCAGCCTTAAGCTCGAGGACGCCTTCGATTGTGATACGGTAAGCTACGACGCAAAGTTTTTTTTTTGTAATTAAGCTCGACTTCTACTACTTCAACGTGTAATTTTCGTATTTCACAATTCGACTAGCTTATCCCATGCCATGTAAGACGCTATGTCTTGGAGAGGATGGGTTTTGAAGATCATGAGAGGAATGAAACAAAGAAAATTAACCTAAGGACCCATCATGGTATGGATTTTGAGGTAAATCTATACAATTCTGAGAGTGTATCCCATTTTGGTTGCCCGGGTTGGGAAGCACTTTGCAAGATGTATGATTTTCAAGAGGGTATGTGACGATGTCTTGGACTAGGGGGTCCTCACCACGTCGTCTCCCTGTGGCCGTATACTCATGGGCCAGTTCGGACAGCTGCCGCATACAAGGAAGATTCCACAAGACTTGGTGATCAAGACAAGGACTCCTCCCCACCGGCATATTTGGCTAGGACTCTTGTTATCCTAGGCCTCTGGTGCATTATATAAACCGAGGCCAGGCTAGTCGATAGATCAGAACAACAATCATGTCATAGGCTAGCTTCTAGGGTTTGGCCTCTACGATGTCATGGTAGATCAACTCTTGTAATACTCATATCATCAAGATCAATCAAGCAGGAAGTAGGGTATTACCTCCATCGAGAGGGCCCGAACCTGGGTAAACATCGTGTCCCCCGCCTCCTGTTACCATTAGCCTTAGACGCACAGTTCGGGACCCCCTACCCGAGATCCGCCGGTTTTGACACCTACAGTATGTTTGTCACCATGGATCTTGGTGATCCTGACATCAACCAAGACAATTTGGACATTTGGGTCCTTGTTGATATGCTTCCAATTCTACCGCTATGTGAGTTTCTCAAACATAGTTATTTAATTTATATTGTTTATATCAAAATAGTTGACATCTTATTTCCATTGATAGCTTATTTTCATTCTTCAAAGAATGTGTGGAAGATGGTAGACAGAACCTACTACACCGATGGCTCTGAGTTAACTTATCAGGAGAAAAATCATCTTGTCGCATATTGTACTGAAATTGAGAATTACAATGCCTATTATCGAACTCCACATTATGGTCAATACGTGCCACTAGTGCACATGTTGAACCACGATAACTTCCGTGGAGATGCCCTAGTAAGAGTTTTTACTATTACGATATCCGTGCATCTTCTGCATACTTCTAAAACTGAACTGTGTTGCTTTGTTGATGTTGTGTTGTTGCTGTTTTTAGTATGTTGATTACACATGGTCTGAATCGGGTAGCAGGATAAGGTCTATCGACACGTTGCAATTTGCTTGCTCTCTTATGCTCATAGATATTGCCTTAGGTAACTTTCTAGATTATGTAGTTTAAATGGTTGTACTTAGTAAATGCGTCTAACTTGTACTTGTTTTGGGTATGCATCGCTATTAGCTATGTAGTGTGTTGAATTTCATTCCAATGATGCTTCCTTTTGAAAGAGATGAGAGTGAGAGATGAGATGCTCTTGGAGAAAGGATACCGGATGTTCGTAGGTGGTCTTTCCTTCTCGTCCTCCACCTCTGAGACCTCGGTAAAGTAGCGGAGAATGAAAGGACCGACCATCACTGACGGTCAAAATAACATTGAGAGATGAGAGATGTTATGAGAGGAAAGATACCTGCTATTGTCGTAGGTGGTCCTTGCTTCTCATCTCTTTTCTGTGAGACCTTGGTAACACAAGAAGGGATGGGAGTAACGACCCTTACCGACAGTCAAAATAAACAGGCAAGGAGTGCCCCACCATACATATCTACCACCACTTGAGAGGTGAGAGTTGTTGAAGGGAGCATCAACTGACTGAAAGTTAACCCACATGAAGAGTTGTTGTGTATTCTTCATTTAGTTTTCAACTTTGCAAAATTAAGTTTGATACAGAGACCGTTCTCGCATGACACTCGTGCAGGAGGATGGCCCCTTGCCGCCCTCCTGCGATCGGGCTTTGTGGTATTCGACTCCGGGGGATCACCTGTGATGGTGATTGGCTGTTCCTTGGCACGTTTGATACCCCCGAGCTCACCGTTCATGCGTATGCTGTGGTGACTTCCATGTATGGGTGGAAACTGACTGACCTAGACTTCCCCGAGGATGCCAAACATGTGTCCTTGCCCCTCCTTAACGGATTTATTCTCGTAAGGAGGTGAAGGCACGCCGCCTGGCCAAGATGAATAAGGAGTACATGGCTAGGTATGTTGAGGCCAATCCACACCTTGTTGTAGCGGAGCGTGATTTTTGGGCCAATAAGGAGAAGGACCAGAGGAGGAACAAGGACACTGACATGGATGCTAGAATAACCGTGGAGGTCAACCAACTTTTTGACAAGCTCGATGGGCAGGGCTACTTTATGTACGACGATGGGGATGAGGTGCAGCTGGCAACCCGCACTGATGGTGAGGTAGGCCCCTCCAGCGGATGTCGAGAGGTGATTGACCTTGTCTCCGAGGACGAGGACGAGGACTAGCTTCGCATCATCCTACCGTGCACCCCTCAAGTCTCAAAAAGATACAAACACTAAATTTGTGGGAGCAATGGCACCCAATACTTGCCTTGCCCTAATAACAATTCAGAGTGCAAATCACAATGCTAGGTTAAGAAAAATAACAGGGACAGTATGCAGGAAACATAAAATTCAACTTCATATCCAATCATCCTTGCATTGATTTACAAATATCTTTTTATTCCACACAACCACACTATTTTCTATCCATGGAAATTCTTTATCCATCCATATTACCAGTTATTCTGCAGACTCTTTTTATTGAATAAAACCAACCAACTAGCTAGAGAGCTAAGATCCCAATCAACAGAGCTTTTGCTTTGCCATGATTGCATAGAGCTGAATTCCTATCAGGTCAAATTTGTAACTTGTAGAGATGGTGATCTGATCTTTGTAGCTAACCCCTGATCTTTAGATCAATCACAACCACACATATGTCATCTCGGCTATGCATACGGAAGGCGAGATCCGTGAGGTGGAACGTAGCGCATACACACCGAACCTCTTCTTCGCGGCCTACCATTGTGCCAGCATTGGTGCTCTTATCTTCTAAGCATTTCAAGGTTTCTCTGCAGGCCACCGTGTTTGACATCACATCCCACAATCCATCGCTTGCAAGGATCATGAAATCATCATCCTCCGACCTCGCAGTTATGGTAATTTCTGGCTCACATATCACTTCAGGCTTGAGGAGCATGTGCCCTATGAGTATAGTTCATTGTTTAATGAGATGTAATACCTTAAGCATCAGTACACACATATACTAAAGAAAAATCAACTTGTTATAGAAATGAATAACCTTTCCAAAAAAAGTAAAATTGGCATTTATGTTATTTTATTTTGGGATTAATTAGGAAATCAACTCTCATATATCCATCAAGACCAAGTAAGTAACCACTTATGAAAGATTTTATCAGAAAACAACAATGTTCAAATAAACTGAATCTGAACTATCAATTTGACATCATTGTTAATGCACCAACACATAATAACATCCTTGCTAAAGGTAAGACTATTAATGAGTTTGAATTCACGGTTTACCAAGTATGGTTGTTGAAGGCAAGACTGTGAAAAGATAGCTCAATGCAGTATTTGATTAGATAATAGGATGCAACTACAATAAATACACGAATTCACTACATATTATCATGAGTGGCCCCATCTAGTATCTGTGGGTGCTATGGAAGCATGCTTCAAAATTAGAGCAGAATTGTGCCCATTGATACATCTTGGTACACTATTACGTGTATGCATTTAACATAATCGGGCATTCTATAATTTTATTTTTATGATTGAGCCTACTATGTTTCAATTGTTTCTTTAAAAAGTAGGATAAACCCCGCCTTCTACATTCTTTTCTTGGTACTTAAATGCAAGACAATGTTTTAATTTGCTTTTTTCATTAGAAGGTCACACATGGACGCAAAAATTAAATCTTCCTTTTTGATTACATTTGTCTGGATGTTATTTTTGTCTTTATGTAAGAAGGCTATTTTTTCCTTGTACATTCATTTCCTTGTACTCTGCTAACATTATTGTGTCGCTCAAGTGGCTTAAAAATACTCAGGAAGGATTCCCTTGGTGGAGTCCTCATGGTGGCGCAGATACTTCTTTGTTGCAACGATGCTCTTCCCTTGGTGGAGTTCTCATCAACAACATCGTTGGTGTTTTTCTGTCTTGCAACCTCCGTCCTATAAAACGCCTTTTTCTTATCTAAATATCGGAGTCTATATTTTGAACAAAAAAACATGTGGGCATGAAGCAAACAAGACTTAAAAAAATAATCATGTGACAAATGATAGTATTGTATAGAGTAGCCTTTTATTTAAATTTACAAATAAGGCAACACGCCCATGGAAAATGGAAAAGGAGTCCGATAGGTGGTGATCGTCATCTGGGGGTTGCCTCCAGCTAACGATGTGTTCGCTAGGGCATGACACCTGCAGTGAACGAAACCCTTTCTCCTGATAGTTCGCTAATAAGGAGGTCTCTGCCGGTTGGCCCATGGAGAATGCACGAAAAAAAGATAGGCCCAATTGACTCATTTTTCGGAAAAGTTTGCCATAAACAAAAAGTACAAAAATCCTAATACATAAAAGGCATAGTAAATCATAAATTTACATTTGCCATGCTCTAAGATATATTAAAAAAATCATCTTGTACTCTATAGAATAGCATCCACTAATAAATCATGGAAAATTAGAAAATGTACTGGTCACCTAGCAAATTAAAAGGATAAATTGTTTCTCAGAAAAGCATGTTAAATTTTGAAAATTGTTTGTTGTCATCACATACCTTGATTTAACCAAAAAAATCTATTTCATAAAAATTATAATGGCAAACAAGATTTTGCCAAGGAAAAATGTGAAAAACTAACAAATATTGTCATGGTTTCATCATATATATTTTTTGACAAGGAATGTTCAAAACAAGTTTGCCATTTTATGTTCGATAATATTTTTCCATGCCATTCAATGTTTTTACCATGCTTTGCTGAATAAAATTGCCATGGTGTGAAATTTCTTCCCATGGTCCAAAATAATTTTAAAAATAGGAATTTCAAATGGTTATGTTCAAAATAAATATGTCGTGCAGTGTGAAATTAAAATTGCCATGATGGGTAAAAGAAAACATTGCATGGTCCAAAAAAGAAGTTTGCCATACATAAAAAATGTAATCTTGGTTAGGAAATGGATTTTATTTTTCTAAAACAGCCATGTGACAAAGTAGAAACTTTTCCAAAATACCTTAAAAATTCCGTGCTACCTAAAATAAAACTAGCATGGTGAAATTATCCAACTTTCCATGGTATAACGAATAAAATTGGCATTGTTCTAGAATAATAAAATTATGATGCTATCTTGAATAAACTACTATACTCTAATTAATTAATTTGCCATTTTCTAACTAAAAAAATGTCGTGGTACGAATAATAAAAATGGCCATGCTACCTATAATAAAATTACCTTGGTACAATTGATAAATTTTCAATGGTCTCAATACTAAAAATGCCATGCTACCTATAATAAAAATTTCACATGACAATTTTTAGGAATTTTGTTCTCTAAGAAAACACAGGGCTACTTTTGGCAAATTGTAAAAGGGTGCATGTCAAAGCTAGGGATTTCTTTCCATAAAAAAGATGGCAATTTTAGGAAATTTCGATGGGCACATGGCAAAAGTTAGGGATTGTAAAAACACAGCATGTTTTTGAAATTTATAAGTTGGCAGATGGCAAATTTAGGAGATTTGATCTTTAACAAAGATGGCATATGTAGCAAATGCATTTGGCACATGGTAAAACTATGAGATTTGGACTTTGAAAAAAGTTGGCCAATTTAGTATTTTTGCCACGTCTTCAATAAAAAAAGTATGCCCCCATAATATTCATATTAATTTTTTTTGCCATGATGTTGTAACACTGAACGTTTTCAAAGTTGTTTAAAAATTTATCATGTTCTAGAGATCACAATTCTCCCCTAAAATTGCCATGCAATTAGTTCAATAATTTTTACATAAAAATTACCTTGTCCTATAAAATTCTTTTTGATAATTTTCCCTTGTAACTATTGCAACCTGTAATTTTTGCCATGATGTAGGAGATAAACTTTTTCTTAATTTCCATATGATTAGTCCTAATTTTTTCTCTTCTAAATTTTCCATGTTATAGTTCATAAATTTTCCATTTCACTTTTACAAATTTCTCTATTTTTTGTCGTGATGTAGTAAATTTGCAAAATTTCTTAAGGGGCAGATTTATCTATAACTTGCCATGGCAACATTTATCACACGTGTGCAAACAACACAACAATCCTAGGGGAATCATCTTCCACAACACATACACATGATCAAATTACTGTAGCTAACAAACAGTATATGAAGAATAACATCAATATAGCTGCATCCCTCTAGCACATCAAAGGGCACACAACACTATACTACAAGATCTCTTTGACACGAACTAATTGCACACTGGTGTTTCAAGAGTGATGCCAATGAGAAATTCATGCAACCAAACACGATGAGCAGTGGCCTGACCTATGGGGATGATGAAGACGGGCCCGAGCCTGAAGCTGGAGGGGATCACGCCTACCACCTATTCACGAGAGCAGCCCAGACTGGGTCGCCGGTGAGGAGTATCGTGGTCGCGCCCTCCTCCGGCCGGAGCTCTTCCCCATGGTTGTGAATGGATGAGGAATAGAGATGAGTGGACATCGGCTGGGCACGTCCATTTCATCTACGAGCGTTCCCAGATAGACAACTCAAGAGCGAACGGTTTTTTCTGACGTGGCTACTTAGCGTGCATCAAGATTGGTGCCCTGGATCTGATGACCCTATAGTCGTTCTCTGGGAGGAGCCAGAAATCTGACGTTCGCTACATATCATTTCTGAAAGAAAAATTGCCCTCTCTCTTCGATATATAGGCAATGCTAATGAGAACAACAAAACATGGTGCTTAAAAACAAAACAACACGCCAGCAGCTTTGGTCGAAGTAATGGCAAAAGGCAACATATAGGCTAATGACAATCAACAGAGACACTGACCAGTAGCAAACAAATTCAGGAAGGTGATTTGTTTGCTAGTAAGTAGTAAGTAGTAACACAACATGCATGCCAGCGGTTGTATGGATGGGAAGGGCAATCGTGTGAGAATGTACCTAGCGCGCGCGTCTTGGCAAGGATCCCCTGCACGCGCAGCACCCCGCCGTAGTTGAACACCACGCCGCCCGCCGCCGTGACACGCGCCATCTCCTCCGGTCGGTCCAGCTGCATCCACGTATGAAGCTAAAATTTGTCCGGCCGACCAAAGCAGAGAAATACTCCTACATACACTTGACACATTTAATCTCACCCTGTGGTCCTGGGAGAGCGGGACAGCACGGCCGACGCGGCAGAGCACGGCGCGGGAGTCGCCGCAGTTGGCCACGATGATGCGGCCCAGGACCAAGAGCGCCACCACGGCCGTGGACCCACCTATGGTGCCCCGGGGCACCCCCGACGCCCCCAGCTCGTCCGTCCACATGAAGCTTCGTGCCAGCGCGGCCTTCCAGGCGCGATGCTCCGCCTCTTCGTCCTGCTGGTTCTCCTTTCGGTAGGCTGCGGCCGCGCGGGCCAGCTTGTCCGCTAGGATTGCGTGCATATGGTCCCTGCACAGCGCAGACACCTGCACCACAACGCTCAAACCCGTCGAGTCGAGGTGGAGTTGGCACGAGTAAGATAGGGGATCTGCGGTTAGGTTACCTCGGGGCCACCGTGGCCGTCGAAGACGGCGAAGAAGTGCATGCGCGAGCCGTCAACCCAAGTAAAGAAGGACGGGCGCAGCGATACCTTTCCTCCATGATCTTCCGGTAGCTCCCCAACATCCCAGCCGCCCCGTACGCCCCGCGCAACCGGGCGGCCAGTACCGCGCGGGGACCCTCCCTTTGTTCGGCTACCTGAGCGGAGCGGCGGCGGCGGCGGCGTAGGCGGCGTTCCTGGGAGCCCAAGGCACGGTCGGCTGCCCCCTCGCCGGCCGCGGGCAAGTTGTTGGCGCTGTTGCTGGCCATCACTACAGATTGGTCACGCGAAAGCGGAGCAGGTTGAGCAGGGTGTGTGTGAGTGCCAAAGCAGCAGAGCATCTCCCTAACAAGCAACCTGCCTAGAGATAGAAAGGGAAGAAACTGATGGAGGAAGACGGAAACGGACAACCGAAGGAGCGCAGAAGAGGAGGAGGAGGACCCGGAGGAGGAAGAGGAGGCTCTCTCGCTCAGAAACGGAGGGGGTTACTTGTTTGTGCTTCCCTCGCGCGCCTCACGTTTACTGCCTGCTTCCTCATTTTCGCCTTATTTATTCACTGATTGAAAAAGGCTTATCATTGTGTTTCCTACTCTTAGTTTGTTGTTCACTATTCCAAGTACGAAAGATAAAGAGTGATATATTATAAATATACATTTTCTTTGAATAAAAAATTATAAATTTTCAACGTCAGTTTCACCTCTCTTTTATTTTGCGGGTGAGTTTGTCCTTTCTATATTTGAGGAGCTTTTATTTGTTGTATATGCTGTATCAGGCCAATTCAATTCATTGGCGTTTAGCGTGCTCTCTTAATGGATATGATAGATTTTTAGAGATAACCCTCGAATACATTTCACAATATCTTATATGACTGATCTTTAATTTTATTAAGTGGCGCCCTTGGTCGTCATAATCATTTATGCCTTCCTTTGTACCATCTTTCACAAATAAGGGAGGAAGAACTAACACATGACAAGAAGTACAAAAAGGTGTAATTAATGATATGGATTATATGATATGAATGCCTTCCTCTCCAATACCTCTAACAACCTTCCTGTCTAGCAAGTGTGAGGAGTAGAATCCTAGTGAAGAAACAAAACAAACTGAAGGAGGAAAACATAAATGGACAATTGATGGAGTGCAGAAGAGGAGGAGCACTGGAGGGGGATTGTCGGGGATATACCCTGCGGTATGAACCGACCGGAAGTATGACCCGGTCGGGCTTGGCGTTTTCATTGGTAACCCGCGGTGGAGACTAGAGGAGGTATCCTTGTTGCTTGGGACTCTTCAGCGATCGAGATTGACCATTTCAGCTTAAACTCTGACTTCATCACGGGTCAAGTGCACACTAAAAATGGTTCTGTTTGGCGGAGTGGTTTATGGCCCTCAAGGCAATTTGCTTAAAACCGCCTTTCTTGAGGAGCTTCAAGCAAGGCGCGCACTCTGCCCCGGCCCATGGATGGTGCTTGGAGACTTCAACATGATTTTGCGGGCGTCGGAGAAGAGTAACACAAATCTCAACAGGACCATGATGGCTAGGTTCCGGAGCTTCGTCGATAGCAATGAGCTGAAAGAGGTTTATATGCATGGGCGTAGGTTCACGTGGGCGAGCGAGAGGGACACGCCTACATTGACTAAGATTGATCGCATTCTTGTCTCAGTAGATTGGGAGTTGGACTTCCCCGACAGTATACTGCAGGCCCTGTCCTCCGGTGTTTCTGATCATGCTCCTCTAGTCCTTAGTTCCGGACCTGTTTTCCACCCCAAGAAGAGATTCAGATTTGAGTTATACTGGACGAAGCTGCAAGGCTTTGACGATGCAGTTCGCGATGCGTGGGTCTGTAGCGATGCCATTACTGACCCCTTCCAAAGATTGGATGCGCTGCTCAGGAACGCGGCTCAGGCGCTGCAAGCTTGCGGCCAGAAAACCACGGGGAATATAAAGCTGCTTATGGCAGTGGTCACATACGTAATCTGTAGGTTCGGCATGGCACAGGAGGACCGCATCCTCACGGATCAGGAAATTTTACTACGGCGCACTTTCAAGTTGGCACTCCTAGGAATGGCCTCGCTCCAGCGGACAATTGAGCGTCAGCGATCGAGGATGAGGTGGATTCGAGAGGGAGGCGCGAACACAAAGTTGTTCCAAGCTTTTGCAAATGGCAGGAGGACGAAAAATTTCATCCCGCGTGTTAGAGTGGGAAATGATGTGATCACCGATCAGGCTCAGATCGAAGCTGCGTTCTCTTCGGCTGATGGGAGCCTGCTCGGCACCGACCAGGCGAGGGACTTCATCCTTGATCTGGAGTTCCTGGGGATACAACAAGTGGATTTGAGCGAACTTGACGTGATTTTTACTGAGGAAGAAGTGTGGCAAGTCATTAAGGAGATGCCTCCATACCGTGCACCAGGGCCCGATGGATTTATTGGCGCATTCTATCAACGGGCATGGCCAACCATTAAGCACGACATTATGGCTGCCATCCTCAAGCTTTATGTGTGCAACGGAAGAGGTTTCGCTAAGCTTAATAGGGCATTGATGGTTCTCATCCCTATGAGATGTGATGCGGAGGTAGTAGGCGATTACCGGCCCATAAGTTTACCTCACAGCTATGGAAAGCTCTTCTCCAAGATCATGGCTAATCATGTCAGAAGGAGAATGCCGGAGTTAGTCGGTGCTAATCAATCGGCATTTATCCAGGGAAGGAGTTTGCATGACAACTTCCTCTTGGTCGGACAGGTAGCTAGAAAAATTCATGCCAGAAGGGCTCCTGGAGTTTTCCTCAAACTGGACATCTCGTGTGAGTTCAACACCATTTCGTGGCCGTTCCTCTTTGAAGTGCTCAGAGCCAAGGGATTCGGCTCTAACTTCCTGCGTTGTGTGGCGATCTTGCTCCAATCCGCTTCCACTCGAGTCATAGTCAACGGGAACCAAGGGAAGAGATTTAACCACGCCCGGGGTCTGAGGCAAGGAGATCCTAGCTCGCCGCTCCTCTTTGTGATTGCCATGGAGGTCCTATCTGTCCTGATTTGCCGAGCTACTAGCGAGTGTGCCCTTTCATCATTCAACGACATATTGGCGAAACAGAGGTTGTCACTATACACTGACGACGTGGCGCTCTTCGTGCGGCCGACGGAGCAAAATTTGGTGTGCGTCAGAGAGATACTTCATGCCTTCGGGCATGCCTCGGGACTGATAGTCAACTATCTCAAAACCTCGACCATAATCATCCATGGATTGCCAGGAGATGCCGAAAGAGTGCAACAGCTCTTCAACTGTCAGATGGGCGCGTTCCCATGCAAATACCTGGGGCTCCAGCTCGGAATCCACAAGTTGTCAAAAGCGCACTGGCAACCTATGCTCGACCAAGTGAAGAACTTCCTGCCGGCTTGGCAGCGTGGGCTGATACAGAGGCCGGGCAAGCTCGTGCTCGCCAAAAGCGTGATATCGGCGCACCGGTGATCACGTACTTGCTATGGTCAATGATTTACACGTAATCTTTGGAAAGGGTCCCGACGGACTAGCTGTGCCGAGTGACGCTGGGGGACACGCACCCATGTGGAAGAAGAAATCTATATTTTGGGACCTACCCTACAAGAAAGACCTAGAGGTCCGCTCTTCGATCGACGTGATGCACGTGACGAAGAACCTTTGCATGAACCTGCTAGGCTTCTTGGGCATGTATGGGAAGACAAAAGATACAGCTGAGGCACGGGAGGACCTGCAACGTTCGCACGAAAAAGACGGCATGCCTCCAAAGCAGTATGAAGGTCCTGCCAGCTATGCTCTTACCAAAGAAGAGAAGGAAATCTTCTTTGAATGCCTGCTTAGTATGAAGGTCCCGACTGGCTTCTCGTCGAATATAAAAGGAATAATAAATATGTCAAAGAAAAAGTTTCAGAACCTAAAGTCTCATGACTGCCACGTGATTATGATGTAATTGCTTCCGGTTGCATTGAGGGGGCTTCTACCGAAAAACGTCCGATTAGCCATTGTGAAGCTATGTGCATTCCTCAGTGCAATCTCTCAGAAGGTGATCGATCCAGAAATCATACCAAGGCTAAGGAGTGATGTGGTGCAATGTCTTGTCAGTTTCGAGCTGGTGTTCCCACCATCCTTCTTCAATATCATGACGCACGTCCTAGTTCATCTAGTTGACGAGATTGTCATTCTGGGCCCCGTATTTCTACACAATATGTACCTCTTTGAGAGGTTCATGGGAGTCCTAAAGAAATATGTCCGTAACCGTGCTAGGCCAGAAGGAAGCATCTCCATGGGCCATCAAACAGAGGATGTCATCGGGTTTTGTGTTGACTTCATTCCTGGCCTTAAGAAGACAGGTCTCCCTCAATCGCGGTATGAGGGGAGACTGACTGGAAAAGGCACGCTTGGAAGGGACTCAATAATATGCAGGGACGGATATTCTTGGTCTCAAGCACGCTACACGGTTCTACAGAACTCTACCTTGGTGACCCCGTATGTCGATGAACACAAGAACAGTCTGCGCTCCAAACACCCGGAGCAGTGCGACGACTGGATTACATGTGAACACAACAGGACTTTCAGCAGTTGGTTGGAAGCACGTCTCAGAGGTGACAACACTGTTTGTGATGAGCTGTACTTGTTGTCCAGGGGACCATCTTCGACTGTTACGAAATAAAATAAAATAAATAAAATAAAATAAATAAAATAGTATTTCGTTGTAAGTAGAAACAAAATAAAATAAATAAAGCAAGAAACAAAACAAAAAAACAAAAAAAGTGTTTTCAAATTTGAGAACTAATGGCACTAACAGAAAGTTTATAATTTTTCTAAAACTAAAAGCAAAATGAATTAAAAAATAAAGCAAAAAAACAAAAGAAAAATAAATAATGCAGAAAACAAAACAAAAAAAACTTGGAAAAAAATAAAAATAGCAACAATAAGTAAAGAAAAAAAAGTGCCACCTACTGGGCCCCGACGGCCTGAATACGACTAGAAACCCACCATGGGCCAGGATTCAGGCCCA